CTTGGGTTTCTGAGGCAGTATCACTATGGAAGTGGATCGGCTAACCTTCCTTCCACGTATTTTACCACTGTAGATGCTTCTAACCATGCCCATTAGTACCCATAAAGCTCACTTCTAACACTATGTGAAGAGTTTGCCTTCATGTGTGTTCACCTGCCCAGGTTCCACTAACTCCAAAGCTGAATTTTGCATCTTAATTCTACTGGACTGACCGGTAGAAAGGCGAAATACTGCAGGATCCTCAGGCAATCACTCAAATGAGTGAACCAGAAAGAAACTACGAGCATTTCATGACTGGCAACTCCTCTATTTCAAACTCCCATTATTATGGCTCAGCAAGGGAGAGCTCTGTGTTATAACCAAAATTTGGCTTTCCCTGCATTTGAGTTAAATGCGTATACTTGAACTCCTTGTAAAGATTAATTAATAATGTATAACAATAGCTCATCCCGAAGAGACAAACTGAGTCTGAGCTCCACTGAAGAGTAAATGGAAAGAGTTCAGGCATCCCTACAGGAGGCCAGAGGCAGAAGGAAAACAAGGCCTTTCAAAGGGCTTCAGGTGCCTGAGAAGAGGAACTCTTCTGTGAGAGGCTGCTTAGCCAAGACTGGGTGGGAGGTGAGCAACCTGAACACAGATTTCTGGGGTTAGCAGGAGACTCAGAGCCAGGAACCAGCCAGAGAGAGGTAACCAGGCTTCTCACCAAGGCTGGTTAAAGGTGAGCTTTCTGTCTACTCCAAAGCCCTGAAAACACTACTGTGAGCTTCCACAATGGTGAAAAGAGCTGACACTTGCATCACTGTCAATTGGTTAATCTCACTGAGTTCCATTTTATTTATTTGTGAAGATGGGAGTCTTAATACCTGTTTATTTTAAATACCTGTTTTACAAACCATCCCTCTTACTCCCCCAGGGGTGTTGCCAAGATCAAATGAGATGTTTATATGATAGCACATAGAAAGTGAATGGGTACACAAAGCTAGGAAGAAATAGCAGTGTATTTTCACCTCCAGCATTACTGGGATGTTGTTTGAAACTAACAGGGACCTGAATTGAGGTTCTGCTGAGGATCTTCTATCAAGAAGAAAGGGGCAGAGGTAGTACTCCATGGAGAAGCTGCATTACTGATGTTCCTTCCTTCTCCCTCCCCCACCAAAGATTCAGGTATACTCCATTTTCCACTCACCCAGTGTGGGATCCCACATGGCCATGTAGCACTGATGAACTACCTTACAAGGCAAGTTAGTATCTGCCACTGTGTTTTCCATAAAATCACTTTCAACCAAATAAATGTCCCTGACTGGCTGACAAAACAAGGAAGAGATGTGGCATCAAGTGACAGAAAGCAGCCTCAGCTGACAGGTCACCCCAACAAGAAGCAATTAAACATAAAGTAGAAAATGCTCCCTGTGGGGAGAGATGTCACACAGCCTGGGAACAGAGAATCAGAGTCCAAAGAGTGACAAGCTGGCCTTGCTACCGTACCTATGGCCTTGGAAAAATCACTGTCTGGATTTGCATTTCACACTCGGAGTCCAGACAGTAAAAGTGTTAAAGACACAGTCTTGGAGAGACTCAAAGTAAACACACATGCATCCCTCCATAACCCATCATACAAGCAGAAACACATAGGTCCAATACCAGGAGTAAGGCAAGCTATGGGAGCTGGAATAATATAACAAACATAGTTCCCACTATTGAGAGCCTACCATGTTCCAGGCATTTTGAAAACACTGTTTTATATCATCCACAATAAGCAAATGGAACAGGTGGTATTAGTCCTGTTTTATAGAAATGATGCTCAGAGGGGGCAAGTACTTATCCGAGATCACAGAGTCAGCTAAAGGGGCCATCATAACTTGGACCTATTTCTCTCTGACTACACTGGGGAAAGTAGTCATAGTCCAGGGATGGCAGTCTCAAGCTCTCCTGTAGCAATGTCTTGCTATAAAGCAAAAACCCTGTAATTTAGAATAAAAACCACACCTAGCTAGCTCCATCTTGGCATGCAATTACCTCCTTACCTGGTGCTGACTTAGGAACTCCCGTAATGGACACCTAATCCGGGAGTCTCCTCCAACACCTCCAGATGTAGCCAGGTGTTAGTGCATTTACATCTTTGCTCTTGCACATTTCCTAGATTACAGTGCCTTCCTCTTTACTCCAACCTCTTTGAATGGTATTCCTCTGCCAAGATCTCCCAGGCTTCTCTGATCTTTGCTAATCACTACCAGTTTCATTGAGTCAATTCTGACTCATGGCGACACCATGTGTGTCAGGGCAGTACTGTATTCCCTAGAGTTTTTAATGGTTTTAATTTCGCCAGATTTTTCTTTCACAGCACCACTGGGTGGATTCAAACCACCAACCATTCCGTCAGTAGTCAAGTGCTCATTCATTTGTGCCCATTAGGATCTTCTGCTAATTATCCCCATTAGACATAATTTAAATCTTTATATTGTATTCAGGGAATGAAGTTGTCTGACCTATCACCCAAATCACTCACTCTTCTTGGACAAAGAGAGATGATCCTAAAAGTGCAGCTCTACCTAATGAACCTTTTACATTGGACTTTTCTATGGAATTGAGTTACACGATATGTCCATGACAATGAATGTAAGGGTCAGAAAGAGACCCAACTTACAGAAGTATTTCCTGTCATCTTTTCTCCTTTGTTTCTGAGGCCACTCTGTTCT